TTGTCTAACACATTTGTACAAAATCAATATACCCTTTGTGCTCATTTCATATGGACTGAGGCTAGAACAAATGTTGTCAGTATTTTGGACAATCAATGTCCGACAATCGCATAAATGTCTACATTAATTCAATTCATAATGAGCAATAACAATAACAAGGCTGATAATGTCAGATGTCCAACATTTGTCAGCGTTAACAACGGCAAAAGCAAAAATATATGCAAATGAACGCGATATTCAATAAACAAGCGAAAAGCCAAACGGAAATGTAAAAATAATAAAAAACTAATAAAATTAAAGAGATTAAATCGCTTTATAAATGTATACAAAACTGGACGCGCCGTCGCCCGACTGCACACAATTATAACAAATATACGCAATTTATTTCAAATGCCATATTAAATCCCAATGAATTTATATTCTGCACCCTTTTTATTATACCCTTACGAAGGGTATTTCAAATTGGATTACGTTTGCCGCCATGTTTTTATATAAGAGTTTAATGGAATTACTGGAGTCAGAGTCAAAGTCAAAGTTTTGTCAGAGTTTGTTGAAAAACATCAACAGCAAAACGCGGCTGGTCGCCAGTTCAAATTCAGCAGCAATTTTCTATTTCATATCTGATTTTTATAGTTTTTGAATTAATTTAATTAATAAATTGATGTACTTACCTTCTTATATATAATTTTCTACTGCTTCTTTTTGAAAAAAAAAAACTTAAAATATTTTATCACAAACAGGAAACACACTTAAAAATATTTATAGATCACCGAAAAAAAAAATTAGAAAAAAATATTATATTATGAATTTAAACACTTTTTCCATCATATTTTTATTTATTAAAAAAAAATGGAGCATTTTATCCCAAAAGCGGCAACACAATTAAGCACAGAAAAAAAACAACAAAAATATATTGACAATAAATATTAAATTATGAATTTAAATACTTTTTCCTTCATACTTTTTCTTTCTTTAAAAAAAAAACTTCACTTTTTATCCCAAAAGAGGAAACACATTTAAACACAGAAAAAAAAGTTAGAAAAAAATATAAAAGCACACATTGAATCACTTTCGTCTTGCATTAACTGAAAAACAGATAAAAAGAATTAGAAAACGTATTTAATTGAAGAGAATCTAAATATCTAAAATTATATATAAAAATATATGTATAAATATGTAAGTATATGAAAATATCTTTATAAAATTATGCTTACGAATTCATTTATATAGTGTATTAAATATTCGGCTAGCTCGGCTGCTAATTTTCGTATCTTTTTTTGTCAATTGCCAGGCAAAATGAAGTTAGACCCGAAGCAAATGCAAAATTCATTTGCTTTTTACAGTTTTGAAGCACAGCCGGAAATCAGGCAGCCATGACGCCATCTTTCAAAATGGCCGCCTGCGCCTTTTTTCCGCTTCTGGTTTTTTTTTGTTGTATTTGCCGTTGGGCTATTTTGCGTCTGCCTCTGGTGATTAGCTGTCACGAATTGTGGCGAAAAACAAAAATGAATTATTACCGCGCTGCGTACAAAATGTTGACATAGATTCAAATTATTTGTAACAAAATCAACGAACTGTGGCGACGCCGCCCTCCCTCCCACCCCCTTCCACCATGCCAAAAAAAGCGTCGCTGATTTGATTAGCTTGAAAATGTTTTGAGAGGCAAAAGAGTGTCCTCTTAAATTGCCAGTTGAGTTGTTCGGCACGTCTTGAGCATTTATTATGGCAGCAACAACCGCGACGAGAGCGAGCGAGAGAGAGAGAGAGAGAGCTGTGTGCAAATAATTTGTGCAATTAATAAAGTTTTGTGCCAGGAACTATTGCTTGTAGCTCATTTACTCTGAAGGCCACTCCAAATGATCTTGGCCATAATTTATGAAGAGAATCTCGGGCCAATGTTATTGTCATCAATTCGCCTGCCATAGCCTTGGTCACATAATTATAGAATCCGTATCGAGCAATAGTGTTTTTTCTTTCTCTTTTTCTGATTTCCTTTCAGCATATTGCCAGGATTCCGAATCGGAATTATAATAAACAATAGGGGGCTGCCTTAGTTCCATGTTCTGTTTACTCCGGTGCTTTGTGTGCCATTTGCCTTGTTTACTTTTGGTTCGATTGTTGTTTTCGGTCCTTGATTTCTGCTGCCATTGTGCACCATTGACTCATAATCGAGAATTGCTTCCTTCAGGTTGCCGATTCGTTTCCATGCCATTGCTCAGGCTCTGCCTTTGCTTATGACCGTCTATAGACTTTAATTCGGGTAATTTTTGTGCTTAATTTTTTCTTGTTACCCACAACTTTGCTCGTTAAACAAAGGCCACAAAACACAAGCGGCTCAAATGACGACAGCTTTTTTCATTTTAAATAAAAAAAAAGGTAATGTCAACTAAACCCCATCAGCTTGTGCTCCACATCTATCGCGCGTCGCCCATCTGGGGCCATCTCGGCTCGCCGCGACACTTGTGGCATTAATTTTTGCTGTGTAAGCAGATAAATTGCAAAACGCTTAACGGAAGCTAAAAGTCATCGGCGGCGTTATAATGGATACCGCGTCGTTTGCTCAGCTCAACTTAACAGTCAACACCGGAGGTCTCTATCAAAACAAATTTAAACAGTTCATAAATTGCGCAGCCCACGCGCTCGTTAAACTTATAAAGCTTGCGTAAATATTGAAAATATTGAGCGAAAAAACAGAAATATTCCAAGAAATTAAACTTAATTAAAATAAACCAACTTACAGCAGAATGCCTAGTTGGACCTTGGCTTTGTTGCACTCTCATTAACTTTTGGCAAAACTACGCTGACTTTCTCAATTTTGAATAATGGAATTGGATAATTGGAATATTAGTCACTTTCTACGAAAATATTCTTTGCACTCATTTTCGACAACAATTTTTATTTCAAAATTTATAATCTTGAATGGATTGTCGGGTTTAAAGCTAGAAAAGGCAGCTATATTAAACAATATATGTATTTAAATAATATATTAAATAAGATTTGCAGTTCTTCACTTAGCTGTCAAAAATCCTCTCAAAAATTACAAAAATTTCGACAAGTACAATTTTTGGTAAATGCCTAACCTAGATTTCAGGCTTCTATATTTTTCCATATTGTGTTAACAAATTTAATATTTAATAGATAAACTTAATAAAAACGTAATGATATAACGTGCTTATATTTGTTTGTTTGTTCACTCTCAATAAATATATTTATTTTTTGCATTACTGCAGCTCTCTTTTAGCCTTTGATACTAGATAGTTGATTAGTCATAGATTAATTAGGGCGACTAAAGTTAAATTAAGCATTATTATCGCCCATCTGCGGCTTTTAAGCTGAAATCCGTGCCCAAGGACTAGTCAAAATGTCATCCAATATTCATAATTGACGCCTGCAGCGTTTGCTGGCCGACAGTGCGTATTAGTAACATTAACTGCATTGACAAAGGAGTCAGCAGCAGCAGTCAGCAGTCGGCAGTGAGCAGTCGTCTAATTATGTCTAATTGCAGTGAGCGCCTCAGGCAGCAATACACACACACCCCCACACACACTGACACACACACACACACACACACTGACACACACACGCATTAGCTAATACGAGAGGGCGATAAGCAGGCGTGGAGTTTGAGCTCTCCGGCATGCCGACACTTGAAGCCCGAAATCCCAAAAGGGAATTAAAATTCCAATACGTGTGCATGTGAGAGCGATGAATCGCGATGTTGTGGTGTCTGGCTCCTCGCATCCGCTATTTGCCAGCCTGGTGGCGGAGCGTTTGGCTCTGGGTCAGATCAAGGTGCAAGGAGACGAGTTTCGAACTGCGCGAATCGGTGCGCGGCGCCCACGTTTACATAGTGCAGACTGCAACTGTGAGCCGGTCAACGATATGCTCATGGAGCTGCTGATCATGGCAGGACGAGCCAAAGTCCTGGCTGCTGTCCATCACGGCTAAGCTGGTGGCCAGCATGCTGTCCGTCGCGGGCCTGAATCATGTGCTCACCATGAAACTGCACAAGGATGCAGCTGCAGGGCTTTGATATACCCTGCTATAATTTGAGGTACCAGGTGGCCATGTCGCGAAATCTGCCCAACTGGCGGGCGGCAGTAATTGTGGCGCCCGGATAATGGATAATGTCGTGAACAACGGCAACAAGTTTCGCGTAGTCGACGTAAGCAAGGTATTTGCCAAGTATATAAAGTCATTGCACAGGCAAATGACGAAGATGACCTCTGAGCTCAATTATCTCAACAAAGAGAACTAGGATCTTGAGCAACCCAATACACGAGAGACCCAGACCCGGGTCCCGGTTCCAAGGCAGGGTCAAGTGCATTGGGAACGGCAATATAGTCTAAAGTAATATTTGTAATTGTATATTTTATAGCCATATCCAACATGCACCCGCTACTTTTGATACTTGAACAAATGTGGATGTATAAACATATTTTATGAATAGACCATGAAAACATAACTGAAAAAATACCAATTTCGCGCCTGCAAATTTATCGATTTACCTATCGTTAGGATTAAGTAACGATAAGAATTGCAATATATGCGAAAAAGATGGCTACTTGCTCAGGTTGAACTGCACTCAGTATTGGAAAGAGCTAAATGAAATTCAAAAATCAGATGCAACGGCATAAATGATTAGAAAAAAGAACGTAAATGAACAAATGGAACACAAAAGTAATATTTCGCGTGCAATTATATGAACTATATTATATAAAAATAAGCACACAGCCAAAAAAAAAAAAATACATTGTTCTTGGGAGATGCTGGTTGGAGGTTGGAGATGTACCCTCTTGCCTGTTACACACCCCTGCACAAATGCAGTAGACACATTATACCACATTTTTTAAATAGTTGCATGGTATTAGATAAATCAATGTGCGAATTGCCCACCAATTCGTTTGTGCTTGCAGCCCTGGTCAACATAGCCTTGTAAGTGTTGTAAAGGTAGAAAAAGTAATTTCAAGTTTTCAGTTAAAATATTTCTAAAAAACTGAACACGTCTCGACTTGCAACTAATGAAAAAAAAAGGAAAAAAAAGATGCAAACTTTCTGAAAAGTATTCCAAAATGGTGGCAAGCAAGTTTGTAGCATTGACCGGAAACGTAGCCATGCGTGGACGGAAGAAATTGCAAAAATGGATACCAGAGATGATGCCGATCTTTATAATATTTAGTTATTTAGAGGGTGCGGTTCAATCCACTTTTCGACTGCGCATTGAAGCTACCGCAATGGCCGTTATTATCGACAGCTCGGTATTGGTGGGCGGCATTTACGTTGTGTTCGATATTCTTGTAATTTTAAGCGGCGCTGGACTGATTGCGTGCCACAAGAGCGAAACTGTGGCCGTCTCCTTGTTGCTGCTGCACCACACGCTGCATTGTTTCTTTTTCACCATGTGGAGCTTGAATCAGGCCCTGCACGATTTCGTGGACGTGGGCACATTGCTGCTGCTGCTGGCGCTGCGTAAGCGCGAACGTGTTACGTTCGAGGGGGGGCTGAGGCAACAGCGCAACGTGCAACGCCTGCTGCTAGTGGCACGCGTCTGCATGTGCGGCATCTATGCGCTGTGGTGCCGCGAAACTGAGAATGTGCGTCCTGCCAACAGCCCGGGGGCATATATCTGTTTAATCCCAAATCGTTTTCACTTTATATAGGTAATCAATGATCGCTTTGCCATGGTCTGCGGCATCTGCGTGCTGCTCGGCTTCTACTGCCAGCTGGCGGCCAGCCTGACGGTCCTGACTCTGATTTGGCACGACTGTTGCATGGTGAACTGGTCCTTCATGCTCGGCTGGGATGATCTAACGATTAGTGTGTCCATGATAAGTTCACTGATTTTAAAAGTGGCCGGATATTTGCTAATGGCGCGTCTCGGCGCCGGAAAGTGGTCCCTAGACGCTCGCCTCTAGCTGCCAGTGCAGCACTTCATCAAATACCAAAGAGCTCGGACACGTGCTTCAATGGCTCAACTGAAGCTGGATTAATAAAAACTCCTCAAGCATTACGAGCCAAAGTCGCCCATTTGCCTTCTTTTTTTTTTTGTCTGAAGGTCTGCTAAGACATTTACATACAATTACGTACGGGGCCCCCGACCCACCCACTGCCGCCAACGAAGTAACTATACAAATACTTGGCTCTAGCTTTTTGTTGTACCCTGTAGTCATTAAAAATGGCTAAAAAGCAGAGGGTATAATAGGCAGAAGGGGCATTATAGGCCCGATGACGAACTTCACTTCTCTAAAGCGTACGAAAACAAGTTTCTCGCAGACTTGGTTAATTTTACAGCATCGATAAATTGCTTCGCTTCTGCGAGATCGATAAGAATCGATATCAAATTGCTAGAGTTATCGAATTTGGCATGTGTTTTCCGTCTGTTAACTTCACATTACGATAACGAGCTTCACTTCTCTAAAGCGTAAGAAAACTCTAGTTTCTCGCAGACCTGGTTAATTTCAAGGCATCGATAACTTGCTTCTGCGAAATCGATAAGAATCGATATTCTATTTCTAAAGTAATCAAATTTGGTATATTTTTCCATGTCATACACTTTAAAATAAAATACAATTTAATATAACATCTCCAGTCATCCCCAAATTGGAAAAGCAACTTTTTAAATGTACTCTTCCGATTTGGAATATGCACACCTCTAACTATTGTCTTGTGTGTGCGTAGGATATCGCTTAGTCGAGCAACTTGTAATTATTTGTAACTGCCCTTATCGCACCAACAGCCAATCGCTTTTTATGCCCAGCACCTGGCTCATGATGAGCACTTGAGCGGCCTTTGATTCGTTGTCTGTTTCTTCATTATGTTTCACTTTGTTTCGTTTCGCTTTCTTTTGCGTAAATTATTGAAAAGTCTCGAGTTGTAGCACTCAGTGCTTAAGCGGATTTACCTTACACACGCCACACACACACACCCCCAGCTATCTACTTTTGGACTTTTTTCTCACTTTTTCCGTGGACTTAAAAGGGAAATGGAAGACAACAGCAAGAGCGGCAATGTGGCGTGTTAAATGCAACAGCATGAGGCACAAGTCAGCGGCCAAGTGGGCGGGTTAAGAGGCCCAACACAGCCGTTAATGAGTTTTTCGGCACAGGCGTTGCATTGGGCATGCATTTAACAACCAGCGCAGCGGAGCAGAAGCCAGCGTTGACCTTCGCTCTTGACTTAAAACCCATTTGCATAAGCGCCGCCATCTTCATGCGAGTGCACCCGTTGAAGGAGCGCTCGTCCTGCTGCAGGAAACCGCCAACTGGCGATGAGCGAATGGCAACTGGCGAATGGCGCCTGCTGCCTTCCTGCCGTACTGACCATGCTCGACTGCTTTTGTTTATCCAACTGACGTGGCTTGTAAGCTTGTCCGGATTGCGTTGCCTTAATTAAAAATCGGCAGCGATTTATTGACCAAGCGTAAATGCAGTTGACAGCGTGATACACAAATAAACATTTAAATAAAAAACAACAGCAGCAGCAATAAAAACAATGCAACAGCAAATGGGCAGAGCTGCGGCTTAAAGCAGTCAACGATAAAGCTTAGCAGGGTTAGCTTTGAGTCAAATATATTAAAACTAGCCCGAATACCACAGCCTTGCCCGTGCTACGTATAAAATATGATGAGGAGATTTGACCGAGTTATGGGGATGGGAAATTTTGATCTTTGTCTATATAGGATATTTGAGGGTTTTAATTTTCACATGAATTTCGACCAAAAATAATGTTGCCTGACTTAGATGCCAAATTAATCTAGAAGCCAATCCATGAACAAAGATTTTTGAAAATGAGTTTCAGGCCGATTAAACAGTTTTATATATAGAGATGTTATTCATTGCAGTGTTGTAAAACTATTTAAATTGTTTGATTTTATGACACTTGTTGCAGTGTTGTGAAACTTTAAAAAATATACCATTTATGCCAGTTTAAATAATACAGACAGATGAGTTTTTTTTTGCCCCACCTTATATTATTTTGCATACTAAATTTAACAACTGTTATTATACAACACTGCTAACCAGAATAAATCAATGCTTCTTGCAGTTTTGTATGCTTTTTAACACGCTTGTTGTTTTTTTCTTAAATATAAAATTACACAGCACTTCCTAACAGGATTATTCAGAGCTGAGACCACATCTTGGCCAAATATCCTACTTATTCCTTGGGAGCCGGCGCTGGCCACAGAACTGCTTGAAGAAGTGCGCGCCCTTTTGCGCAGAACGAATGCAAAAAGGACTTGTCATAAAAGTGCAGCCATGTAATTTTCTAAATGAAAGCAGAGGAGCAGCCAAAAAAGCTAAGAAAATGTATTAAAATGCAGGCCACCGCAAAACAAACAACAGCACTAACAAAACAACAAAAATTCTAAACAGAACGCAATTTTCGCAAGTTGTATTAAAAAATTGTTGTAAAGGGGACAGAAAAAATGCAAGAAGAAGGCGAAAAAAAATAAATAAAATAGAATGACAAACGGTTTGCTCAACAAGAAATATGCAAATGCAAATCTGCCTCGACGTCAGCGAGGTGGATTAGGAGGCGCACAGTGCGCGGGCGTGACACGTGGCGTATGAGCAACAACATTGCGTATACGTATGCAAATGTGTTTAATTAAAATGGTGCAGCCCGCCCGCATGTGTGTGTGCGTGTGTGAGTGTGTGCTTCTGTTTAACGGTTAATGCACATAGCAACATTTCGCATTTGCATAAGTAAAGCAAACTAAATACTCGCTGAATTGCGCAAGTGCGAGACAATGCAAAGCCGCAGCAGCTGCAAAGCCGACCCCGCACAATAAAATTATCCTCTCTCCCCCCACCAAAACCAACCTGCTGGGTAACCTCTATAGGCAGGTCCCCGGTTGAGTATTTAAATCTATTTACCTGCTGCTGCTGCTGCTGGCAGTGCAGATAAGAGTAATCAAATAGTCGTAAAGTTCGAGAGTGTGTGTATAATTAATTTGGCAAACGCCAGTAAAAACAAGCCACAAGAATTGAAATTGAGAGCTGACAAAACTTTCGGCAAACATTAAGTTGGGCAACTATAAGTACAACTATTTGCCCATGTTCTCAAAATGTTGCTCAAGACGAAATTTGAGAACATAGAAATGGAGAAAAGAGCGAAACACTAAAGAAGTTTTGTTTCCATCTGTTCTCGATTTTCAACAGCTTAAATTAAGCCACGACTTCTTAAGGAATGTTATACAAATTTATATTCTATACCAACAGACTGCAGAGAGGGTAACATACAGCGCTTTTTACTTAGTGTTATACTGTTATACGCATAGTATTACAACAAAATTGAAGCATACCTATGGACTTAGCAAGTGTTATACTAGCATACTAAACGTTACCATGTGTCGTACATATATAATAAAATACTACAAGGCTGCTCGAATTTTACAAAGTGGAATACTGTTATACTGTGTATTGTAAAATGCTGCAGTTACATATTGTTATATAATGATTGAAGTTTTAGACGAGCTGTCGCAAGTTAGTCTTATCTTTCTTTTATACTATCTGTGACACCCTTTCCGATAAAAGAATATCTTGACGAAACTGTTATACGAAAAATAATTTTTGTTGCTAAACGTTTACTAGTAAGGCTGTATAACCAAAATATACTTTGTGTAATACAAGTGTTATACTAACCTTACTGGCCCGCAACGTACTGTTATAATAGCTAGTGTACAGTTTTATGTAATGTTCTACTAAGTCTGTTATACTGAAAGATCGACTGTTATCCCAACCGCTACCTAACAGTTATACCTACTGATACAGTGACTGTTATACTATTACTGTCATACTACTTTGAAATATGTCGTCACACCTGTTATATGGCCCTCTTAACTTTTTTTCACTTATTTGCCTTAGCGTCAACTACTTTGTAGATTGCAAACTTCTCATCACCAAAGCTGGGCGATTTCATTTTAAGGAACTCAACAACTTGTGCGTTTTGCCTAATCCATGCGATTTGGTTTGCTTGCATGTAGCTTTGGCTTAAACAAGTTCTGACTTGGGCATTTAAATTCAACTTCAAGGCTAAGAGACACACGTACGGAACGAAATGAAATTCATTTGGGAGCCGCAGCAGCTACAGCGTCGCATTACGTAAAAGCGCTTTTACGGCTACATTTGCAGCAGTAGTACTCTTACACGCACACACACACACACGCACACTCACATGCACATACACTCACGTAGAGACAGTAGTGCCACACTTTGCGGCACTTGGGCAGCAAAATCTAGACAATACTCTGGGTTCAGCTAACAGGTTGAACGCAACCGACAAATGGCGCAGACAATAAAGCTTAACCAAAAGTCTTCAATGTATATATATATATATAGGAATATATATTTAATGCCTTTTTTTATTTTTCCTTTTGTCTCGCGTTTGCCAATAAGCTGAAATGCCAGCTTACTTTTGCGGTTTGACAGTAAACGGCTTTTCACTTATAGAATTTCCTCAAAAAATATTTAACATTTTTAAAATGCAAACGAAAATCACATTGCAAAGTCATTTTCATTGTTCAATAATAATGCCAGTTTGTTGGGTTATTAAAATGTCATATAAACGTTTGGCGTCGAGAGTTACGCATATGCTTTATGTATGTGTGCATATATATATATATATATATATGTGTGTGTGTGTATATTTTTTATAATATTTCTCTTTTTTGTTGGCGCTTTTTCTCACGCTCGGAATTCGTTTTTGCAGGCGCCAAAATGTCAGCGACACGTTTTCTAACAGCCGCAATTTATCATAAATATGCGCACACATATGTGCATATGCATATGTACGAGTGCACACACACACACGCACACATTCATACACATTCACACATGTGTGGCATATAAATCCAGCGCTTGTTTCGTGGGCGACCTTTGCGAATGCCCCAGCGGTCGCCTTTTGTTTATGTCGCTGTCAGCGTTCGTTTAATTCAACATTAGCGCCTAGCGGCAGGTCCGAGCAGCCTCCGGTTAGTATATTTTTCTGTCCGTGTGTGTGGGTGTGTGTGGGTGAGTGTGTGTGTGCAAATGCCACTGTTGCCATCATCGCTGCACGTTCTTTTGTATGCCCCATGGTCGCTTTCATTTTCACACGCTTTTATCCTCGCTTTTCTCGTTGTCGTTTTTTTTCTCACTCGCATTTTTTCTCGTTTTTAAATTGTCAAGCTGTCAAATAAATTACACAAAAAAAAAAAACATCATACAAAAGATCTGCACCAATCACCGTGTACCACATGAATATATAGATATATTTATATATATGTATATATATATATAGATAGTTGTATATATTCGTAAATTTATACATGCATGCATATTACAATATAATATGCCTAGTCTCTTGTGGCCTGTTTTGATTGTTGTGGCATACCGAATTGAGAATTAACACATTTGCCTGTTGGCCTGTGTTTTTTTTTTGTCTGTGTTTTGAAAGCTGTCTATCACGTCACGTCTATCGCAATTTTGGATACAAAAGACTGTTATAATGTATAAATTCAAGACATGCAAGCAAATGCTTATATTCTGCATAGCTTCAATAGATGAAGGCTACTACATAAGGAGCTTAACAAGCAGTTAAACTGAATTCAAACTGTTATACTGTCAATAAATTTAAGACAAAGGCTACGTGTTAAATTTTATGGCCACAAATACAGTTCGACTGCCATACATGCTCATACTAAAAAAAGTGTCATACAAATTTTTATACATATATTTTATAGCTATAAAAACATTTTTACAAGCAAATGCTTATCTTATACATTGCTTATATAGAAGCAGGCAAGGCTACCGCCAAAAAGTTTTATAACTGTTATACCGAAACCAGACTGTTATACTGCAGTTTAACAAGTACCTTCTTCGGAAACAAAGGCTACTTCATAGGTATATGACCACATTTAATTGCTATACAAGGTATTTAAGGCAAGCAGATACATGCTCATACTAAATAAAGTGTCATACAAATTGTTATACAAAAATTGTATAGCTACAAAAATATTTCTACAAGCAAATGTTTATCTTATGCATTGCTTAAATAGAAGTAGCCAAGGCTACTGCCAAAAAGTGTTATATATGGGGTTTGACAAGCAGTTAAACTGGAACCAATCTGTTATACTGCCGTTTAATTTAAGCATTATTCGCCAGCAAAGGCTGTCTCTAAAACTTTTCTACAGCCACATTTTGTAAATACTTCAAACAAGCTATCAACTGCTTACAAAACACTGACATTCTGACAGACACATCTGCTGCTATCAAAATGTTATACAAGCTGTTATACAAAATACATAAGTGTTTGGCTGTCAGCAACATTGTCCCACTTATATATTTTATGGGCACAATAACATTACTTTAGCAGTATAAAATGTATAGCCAGACAAGTTGCAAACAGTTTAGATAATTTGCATTGGTTGAAATAGCAACTGACCACATCATTTTCTGGAAACTTTTATACCTCAATTCAAAACTGTTATACGATCCGTAGCCTTGTCTCACTTAAATTTAATGGCTACCAAAACGTTTCGACTGCCACATAAAACTTCTATTGTAGAGACAAATTGCATAACTTGCGTTTTAAACTTGAGCAGTTTAGCTGGAATATATATTCAGCAAGTGCTGATTTTATGCGTGGCTGAAATAGAAACAAACACAGACACAGACACACACACACACACGCACACGCAGAAACACACAGGCACACACACACGCAGGCACACGCGCGCTGGCACGCATACAAAAGCGTAGCTATAAAGTCTTGGGCAAAAAGTCAAGCGGATTTTGGCTTGGCAAAGTTTGTCTATGCAAAAGCCGCTTAGCCTAGTTAAATAAAAGTGCTACAAGAGCTCACTACACACACATTTTGATATATATACAAATATAGATATTTATATGTATGCCTGAGCCCAGTTTAAGGCGTTGCAAGTGCTGCACTTTGAATTTCCGCAATGCATTTCTTGCCAATTCAAAAAGCTGATTTTTGATTATTAAATGATTTAGAGAGAGTTTAAGGCCCCATCTCCATATAGTATATATTATCCACACCCACACCCACACACACACACCCACGCACACACACCCACCGCCCACAACAGTTTTCGAGCGAATCTCCCAAGGTATGCCATTGACGGCTGTTGTTTATTTATGGCAGCTGCGTCTTGCCACATTTTGTTGCATGTTTTTGTTTTAACAAGGCATTTAAATATTTAAAAAGGCCCCAAAACCTATGCGGCACCCAGCCATAAATATGCAATGAGCTTCTTGAGTTTTCAGTTTTTATGTGGCCAGCCTCAGTCTCTCTCAGTCTCAGCGCTGGCAGCTTACCCCACCCCTCCGACTCGGTCCGTACCGTCCCTCATTCCATGTGGCGCCTCGCAACATTTTTCAATCAGTGAATTTTGATGACTTCTTAACTTATGCCCAAAAGACGGCGCCGTGTCGGGACCAAATGTGCAGCTTAATTAGCAACAGCTGCTTT